GATGCCGTGATTCTGAATGCAGTGGTATAAGAGGAAAGATTTTAATGTTTCTTTTGACTTTAGAAGTTGGTGTCAAAACCGGTGTTTGTTGCAGTTTTCTAATACGACTCTTTCTCCGACTAATCTGGGTCCGTAAAAATGTATCATTTTAAGAAATAAAGGTTTTTCAACAATTTTTCTGGCAAAAACTGTGTTATTTCTTAATTGCATACTTGGTGGTCAGCTTCATCGACTTCAGCCATTTTAAATAGGTAATAAAGTATCTTGTTTACTATTGCGGTGTCAAAAACTGTAGTGTCAAGGAAAATCATAAATTAATCTTTTACATTTTCTGCTTGTTTTTATTCTTAAATGATCTGAGGCATCTGGTTCTGTTTTGCTGATCAATTTGCCACTGAAATTCAAAATGCACAGAAACCGAATGGCTAAACTTCACAAGTAAAAGTGGTCAGAATATGAAAAAAGTTTCAACCTCCATTAAAAGGCTTAGACATGCAACACCTTCGGCGTGATTTATCGAAGCCTGCGGGTCGATCATTAAATAAACAATAAAGCGTGTTATGTTTAAGTACTTTTTAGTCCTGAATCAATGCACAAGTGATTAAACCAATAACCAATTTGCATAACATAAAACAGAATTGTCTTTCTGGTCATAAACAATCTGACTCCAAGATTAATGGTCTCTTCAAATACCCTCTCAGTGGTCGTTTAGCTTACATTCATTCTGAAAAATGTGCCACCAGCTGAGAATCACTCCGTTTGCGCATGGCATGAACTGGAGTCTTTAACGAGGAAATATCGAATATTTATCCCTGCCAAATGCAGCCACTCAAGTTGTCATTGGGTGGTTGCCCAGACCTGCTCGCCTGGAAGCTGTTTCTACCACAGCTGGTGGACAGATAGAGGCTGTGTGATCTCGGTGATTCGCCAAGGCGAAGCTTTTATTCGCCTCATTTGGCAGTTCAATTTACTACTCAAGTCTGTGATCTCGAAATTCCGTCAATGGTTTCAATTTTAAGGATGACCTTGGTCTCCTCTAAATTTAATTTGAATGTGGTCAGATGTACTGTACGTTGCAGTTCGATTCATAGTTTTTATCTGTTTGTGCATTTCTACTGTAACAGGTTTGCTAGTTGATTTGCTTATTTCTTGTGCTGCTCGGAAAAGCACAATATTTTGTGATCTTGTACAAAATGATATGCGTTGAACTTATCATATCCAGTGCGAATGAGGTTCAAGTCTATGCTATCCGATTACTACTGGTTCAGCGATTCGATATATTTTTATATGTTACATTTCTCTGAGCTTCTTATGCTAAGTTTATTGAACAACAAAACGAGGGAATAAATTGAGTTGAGAGTCACACAAAATCCATAGGTATCCTTTTATGAGATAACGTTTCTGAATATCTTATTTTGAAACACTGATTTGTATTCTGACTATTGCTAGTATGAGCAATTATAGCGTGGCAGCCCGACGAGTGGTTCTGCCGAGCTCAGGGTACAGCCCGTTAGCCACCTTTAAAAATGTCATCACATGTGGATGAGACGCACCACTGTGGAATTGGAGATATGTACATTAAACGTCATAATGGCCTTTTAATGTATGCTCTTCGAAAGCTAGAGCCTATTCACATTCACCACCATCATGTCTCCCATCGCTGTCAGGGTTGGGCAATGCTATCAATGGATTATAAGTGGGAAATTGTATTACTTGTGTCTTGTCATCCACAATGCAGCAATGAACTTTTCACGGCCATCCTGTGCAATTCCGCTGGCGATGGTTCACGGCATACTGTCATTGACGGTAAACGTCTTCTATCATCTGAAGATGATACTATCAGAAGTGTCATGGCTGATGGATGTGGTTCCTAACCCGGCACTACGATGGAATTTATCGATCCAGTAGCGCCTTTCATCAACCAAACCCAGCCTGTCAGCATTTAATACAGTAATGGTCCCACCGTAACCACTCTCGGGAGAATATCCTGCAGCAACACATAAGCGGTGCGCTACAGTAGCGAAGCAAAGCGTTTCCTAAGGGTGATTCTCCTGGTTAAACAAAAGTGCCTTCCGTTGTCATGTTATTCTACAGTGAAAATGTGTCATTGGTACATCA